CCTTTGTTAACAAGAATACATATTATGGTGGTAGAGAAATTAGGTGATCAATAAAGCACTTTCAAGCACAAAAATACATTATAAAAATCTGTGGGGAAAATGTATGGAAACAATTTCAAAGACAAAAAGGAACAATGTAAACTTTCAGATTGTCAGGAGCCTGTTAATATATATTCTATAGAATAGATACCATCACATTAGTATTTATAGTTAATTGGATATATTTAAAATAAGGATATAAAAGCTTTATTCCAAAGTGTTAATATTTTCAATAAACTGAAGATTACATTTCTCAACTATCTATATATCTATATATATAAAAGACTAATATGCAAGTGTCCCCTTGGGAGTTTGACTGACCGGGAGTTTGATGGCTCGCTATGACGTGTGCTGACCACCAGGGGGAGGCGCGGAACGAAGGAAGGCCCTGGCTGGCAGTCGGCAGCCGGGTAAGGGAGGCTCTGGCCACTGGCAGCCGCCAGGGACCCTACCATGCACGAATTTCGTGCACTGGGCCTCTAGTTTAAAATAAATGACAAAAGATAGATGCCAACTTGAAATTAAGTGACTCTTTTATCAAAATTATCTTATGTGTATGTATGCAGGTAAATTATTTTGAAGAACACTTCTTTATATACATTAATTTTCACTTAACCTTGTGTTATAGTTAACATTCTTTCCCTTTTACAAACGAGAAAACTAAGGTCTGGATATATCAGGTAGTTTGTCCCAGGTCACTATGTCATATTAGCTAAAAGGCATATGGCAAGAGGTGAAACTCTTAATCACTACACAAAACTGTTCCTTCTGATATAAGCACAGTCAGTAGGCAAAGACCTAGTAAAGAATCAAAAGAAAAGGAACCTAAGAAAATAATCAGAAATCCAGTTAGTAAATTTTTATAAAAGGCATTCTTCACAATGGCTTATTAATTAATGTAAACTACAGGGTGTCCCAAAAAATGTACACACATTTTAACAGCTGATAGCTCAGTTTTGAGAATAAAATGTATTTTAATAAACACTATCTTTATAATTATTCAAAGTGTATGTATACATTTTTGGGGGACACTCTATATTCCTAATCTCCTGACTTCAGTAATTCTAACTTAAATCTTAATTCTCATATTTTCTAAAGGTCATTTAATAATTTATTCTTTGTGTTTAATTTCTACCATCATCATCATCTCCTCCCATAAATGTATCCCCTCCCCCCTCTGAAACACACACAAAACCCCTTACTTTTCCTACATTTTGATCATAATAATTTTGGCACCTAAGGAATTCTTCTAAATGTCTGAGACGGTTACGGGTGAATAATCTCTATGAAGATGGACTAAATGGTTTATGAGGCTAAAGATAATGGCATGAAAAAGAAAAAGGGAGAGAGAAAAGCTACCATATCTCAATTTCTATCACTAATAAATCTTTTTTCTCTTTTCTAAGGAAATGTTTAAATTCTCACCCAATTATATTAAATTGGTGTGTGAAATAAAAACTTCACACAATAATGTAACACTCAGAATAAAATAAAGCAGTGGTACTATGTTGAATGGCATAGACGGTCGATATCTCCTTTAAAAAACTGTCTAATAATTTACAAGCTACATTTGTTTGAAAAGATTTGCCTATAACATCTATAGACAACTATACACTGGTTGATTAGGGGTCTTGTGATGAAGAGTCAAATGACCTAAGTTTAAATGGTAACTGGTTTTAGTTGTGCCCTCTGGTTAAGTATTTTTCTACAGGAGATTAAGGATAAAATGAATAAGTGAATTTAAAGAATGTGACATTTATCCTTATTCTAATAAAGAGTATCAATTGTAGTCTCAGTAAGTAAATTGAAAATATAACTTTAAAAAGTAATAATATTTCAATGATTTTTTTCCCCCTGACAAATGTTCATAGGTTCAAAATAAGCAAAATATGATGATAAATTGGATAATCCAAATAGTGGCCATGTAAACCACCTAAAAAAGTCGTCTGCATTTTAAAATTATTTTTCAAATTTTGAAATCTGTTCTAGTATTTAGTCTATTATGAAACAAAAGAATGCTTTAAAGCAGTGGTTCTCAACCTTCCTAATGCGGCGACCCTTTAGTACAGTTCCTCATGTTGTGGTGACCCCCAATTTCATTGTTACAAATTGAACATAATTAAAGCATACTGATTAATCACAAAAACAATGTAATTATATATGTGTTTTCTGATGGTCTTAGGCGACCCCTGTGAAAGGGCAGTTCGACCCCCAAAGGGGTCACGACCCACAGGTTGAGAACCGCTGCTTTAAAGTGATCAGGCCATGATGCACGAATTTGTTCCAGTATGAAATCTGGCTTTTTAACACAAGACCCTTATATAAACCTAACTAGTTGGGCAAAAAGGTAGGTATGTTTGTTAAATGAAATAATTCTGGCGCCTGAATTCTAATTTGGAAATAAGTTTATCTATTTCCAAAAAAGCAGAGTCCCAATAAAAGCCCTAAATATAAAAAGGTATAAATGTATGGAAATCATTCTTAATTATGAAATTTAATCTTCAGTGAATTATTGCCCAGTCACATAACCCTGGCAAGAATTCCATGAATATTTTTTTTTACTTCCATTTTATACGTAGGGAAACAGGCTTAGGGAAGACCAGTGACTTGCTCAGAGCATAAAAATAAGAGCTGGGAACTGAACTCAATCTACCTGAAGCCAAAGCATGGTCTTTCCAATGGTCCTGCTAAAACCTGAGACAAACAGGATCGGGAATGAACGTGCCGTTCACCGACTAGCTACATCAAAGAAAACTAATTTCACAAAACCTTTACAATCATCTGAAGCCCACCAGCACCCACATTGATAGCTCTGAGTAAAATGTAGTAAGAACCATGTCATTTAGAGGGCAACCCGGATCTGGCTGAAGACTCCTGTATTGTTTTTACCTTTTGAAAAATAGCCCGCACTGACAATTCTTTTAAACACCCATTATTTCTCTCTCTCTCTCTCTCTTAACAGGAACAGCTGCTACCTACAACTCTCTCCATGGGTAGTAAAAGTCATTTTGCACTGCCAGCTATACCCTACAATCAAATAAACACGCGATTTCCCCAAGAAAATACAACTGAGCCCTACTAATATCTAACGCAGATGCAACATTATGAGCGGGCAAAAAAATAAAAATAAAAAAAATAAAAAAATCCAAACCCAGCGCCTTCAAAGCCTGAACTGAAAAGGGTCTGGGGTGGGGTTGGGAGAAGGAAACACGCTCCACCGCGGGAGGCTCCGACCAGGGCGCCTCCATATGCGGAACTCTCGCCCAATCCCCGTCCAGGCAGAAATCCCGTGACCGCCAGAACCTGTTTGTAGAAAAGTAGACAGGGAGCCCGCAAGCCCGGTTGGCAGAGGACGCTGGAACCTGGCTGCTCCGGGAGAAAATGTCTCCTTGGCAGCTGCCGCCACTGTCCTGTGGTCTGACTCCCAGGGCTGGCTCGAGAGCGAGGTGTGTGCCTCTGGCTTCGCCTCCCCCCTCCCCCATCCCTTTCTCTCCTTGGCTCCAACACTCTGCAGAGCTGTCTGGAGCAAAGCTACACCACCCAGCCAAAAAGAACGAAAAAAAAAAAAAAAAGAAGAAGAAAGAAAGAAGTCCCTGGGGCGTAGGGGTTGGGGAAGGCTCTCGCCCTGGGCTCCGACCCCGTGGCAGCAGCCTGGGCATCCGCCGCCTCGCTCCCGAGGGCCGGCCGACCGGCCAGTGACATTGGCATGATGCTCACACACAGCCCGTGTGCACAGGCTGTCCTCCAGCTCGCGGCCCCGCGGCCCCCCGACCCGCCCTGGGCCGTCTCCCTTAGGTCTCCCCGACCTCGCCCTGAGCTCAGGGGAGGGCAGAAGGGCGATGCCACCAGCGGGCAAGAAGCCGCCAAAGAAACCATGTTCACCTTGCCATGCACACATCTGCCCACACGCCCTGTGTCCCAGCCCTGCCCAGCCTGACAGCCTGCCTCCCCGCCAGAGACGCCTGCCCATCCCGGCCCTGCATCCCCTCTGCACACCCGGACTTCTGCCCCATCCGCCCCCCTCGACCCCGTGCACCCCAAACCAACCCCAGCCAAAGGGAGACAGCATTGTGCCTAAGCGAAAAAAGAAAAAAAAATATCTAAATATCTACCTGGATCAAATTCAGGGATCCGGGCTTGGTATTCAGCTCCGACTCTCATCCCAACATCTGCAAAGCAATGCCGAGAGAGAGAGAGAGAGAGAGAGAGAGAGAGAGAGAGAGAGAGAGAGGAGAGAGAGAGAGAGAGAATAAGAATAGAAAAGAAGAGAGAAAAAGAGACACTTAATAAAATATAAAAATTGTGGAGGGATCTGGAAAGAAGCGGCGGGTGGCTGGGAAGATATTAAGTCCGGGCACTCGGGGCTCTGGCAGAGGGTGGGGGCGGGGAGCGGGGGGGCGGGGGCCGGGGCGGGGGCGGGGGTCGCGGGGTGCTGCAGCGCTGCACCGGGAGTTCGAGGCTACCGCAGCGCCCGGGCGCCGAGGGGAGGGAGGGCGGGCGCGCGGCGAAGGGAGGGGGCTGGGGGAGGGGAGGAGGGAGGGGGCGGCGGGCTGGCGGGGAGGAGTTCGGGGCTACCACCGTGCTCGTCGTCGCTGCTGCAGCCGCTCTCGGGCTCCGAGAAGTGCAGCCCGCCGTTGGTGGACGAGGCGCCGCCGCCGCCGCCGCCCGCCGGGCTCTTGGCGCTGCCGTTGGCCGACCGGTTCTTCCCCAGCAACTCGGGCCCTTTCTCCATCATGCCGGGCATGGTAGATGCGGGGAGGGGGCGAGGTGCGGGGGAGAGGGAGGCGTCGGGGTGCAGGGGGGGATCGCTCCGGAGTGCGGGCGGGAGGGAAAGGAGGAGGAGGAGGAGGAGGAGGGTGTTAATATGGAGCCGCCATAACCGCCCCGGTCCGGCAGTAGCGCAGTCGCCTCACCGCCACCCGCCCCGGCCCCGCCTCCCTCCTCCTCCCTCCGCCCTCCCCGCGCACCCCGGGCTCCCCGCTCGGCCGCGCCGCGCGCTACCCCGCTGCCAGTATCACTCCGCCCCGCAGGGAGGTGCCGGCCGCGGGGAGGGGTCGCGGGGAGGCCGGGGAAGCCCAGCTCGCCAGCGATCGCGGCCCCTCCTCGGGGCCCGGGTGAAGCTGCCGCCGCGGCGCGGCCGCCTGCCCGCCTAGGGGGCGCCCTGGAGCCGGGGCGGCGCGCGCGGAGCCGCGGACTCTTTGCCCTCTCCGGGCGGAAGGAACGCGGCCCGTGCGCGGAGGGAGGCGCGACCCGTGCGCGGAGGGAGGCGCGACCCGAGGCGCCCGAGTCTGGGGAGCGGCCCCCCTTTTCCGAGGGGTTTGCGGGGGCCGGGTGGGCCCCGGCTAGAGCCCGGCCCTCGTCTGGGTCTGCGGCGGGCCGGCCGCTCGGTTTCCGGGCCCCTCCGCCGGCTCCGTGCTGGTGGCGCGCGCTCGGCCCGCCATGGAGTCGGTCAGTGGAGCTGGCGACCTTCGCGTTCCCGGGCCCATCAGGCCGAGCAGACTAGGCCCGAACGCCGCAGTTTTTGCTTCTTTCTTATTTTTTTTTTTAAATGCAGGTTTTGTTTTTTAATCCCTGAACGGGGACCTGATTCCCAGAAAGAGACCGATGGTGCCGAGCTGAGTTGCTAGTGCTGAGCAATGCAGCTCTATTTTGCTGAGAGTTTTATTTTTTTTTTAAGCCTTTACCCCCGTTTTCCTCTTCTGACCTTTTTCTTTTTCTTTCCTTTTTTTTTTTTGCTATTGCATTAGTTTGGGAGTGGGGGCTGTCAGTGGTGACATGAGGACGGGGTTCTTGCCTACTTGGCGCCTGCCCAGTGGGTGCTGTTGCCCCGTGGTCAGGGCTTGGGGCCGAGCTGTAGAGGGCGGAGCCCTGAAGCAGAGGTGAGGCAAGAGCCACATTCTGGCAGGGTTTGCAGGCTGGCAGGAGATGTGCTCTGTAATGCTCCTCTGGATTGCATGAGGGCAGAAGGAACAGGGAACTGCGTTTTTCCTTCACCAGATTTGAGGGCCTTGGCCGCGTGCCAGGCTGCCTGGTGTTGGGGCCTGTTGATGATTTTTTTTCTTTCTTTCTTCCCTCATGAGTAAGTGTTTGAACTGTGAGCATTCACTATGCGGAGGTATATGCAAGAGTAGTAGTTGGGATCAACAGTAAGGTATTTTCCAAACACTTAAAAAGATTGCCCTGGAAGAATTCTCTTTTAGGCCAATGCAGAGTAGATCAAACCAGAAGTAAGCACCCCCCCACCCCCGACTGGAGCAAGCCTTCACTCAAAGAAATCAGGCAGTGAGCCAGGAAAAGCCTGGGAAGTAAATATTTGGCAGAAGCCTTGTCTAAAGGGGAAAATCTCCGGGGCAGCACAAAATCTGTCTGGCTCTGTTAATGGAGATGGTTTCATCTCTATCAAAGCCTGGTAGAATTACATTTAATATTTAAATCATACAACTAAACCTTTTTATTCTATTCCTTTTATTCAACAACTACAGTTGTGAATATTATTTTAATTCCCATAGGATTTTTCTATAAGGAGAGAATGCCCTGGCCAAATGAAATGAATAGCCATTTTCCTTCACAGTTATATTTTTCACTGTCAATGCATTGGTACTTCTGTCTTATACACGAGCTTCTGATGAACATGACTCAGCATCTCGGGTCCTGTAACACAAAGGCCAGACTCTGAATTGAGTGAATTACAAAGAAATGTCACTCTGAGTCCTCTAGGCAAGCCAGCTTTCTGACACCCAACTTTGTAACACCCACTTTTCCACAGAAAAGAATTTCTGCATACGGTTACGTGCACAACATTAAAGATTAGGGCTAATAATTAAAAGATTATTATTAATAATAAAATCCTTAAAGTAAAAAGATTACACCTTTATTTTCTTCTTCTTTTTTTTTTTTTTGGTACAGCAAAGAAGGCAGAGCAAGGTAGACTGCATTCCACTCTTAAGAGAAGGACCTCAGGGAGGGAGATGGGAAGGTTATAGGATTTTTAAAAAGAAAAGAAAGTTTCTATTTTGCCCCTGAAGAAAAGGAACATGGGGACATAGCCTGATTATGAAGAATAGTAAAGGGTCTTAAAGTGATTTCCCAATAATTAACAGGACAACTTTAGAAAAAGAAACGACTTAAGGAGAAAATTTTGGGAATGTCTATTGGGTTAAAGGAATAGAAGAATCTGAACAAGGAAGAAGAAAGCTTTAAGAAAGGGTTAATAAACAATGTCCAATAAGGCAGTCACGTTAAGCATTTAAGAAAAGGGCGTTAGTTATTTTGTTTGGCTGTTTATTTAATTTTTTTTCTTGTATTTTCATTGTACTTTAAATTTGGAACAGATAATACTGGCACATTCTCATAGTTCCAAAATCAAAATATTGAAGATATACTTCAATATTGTACTGGACATCTCAGCGATGGCAAACATACCAGGAAAAAATGTATATAAGGATTGGAAAGAAATACATAAATGTGTTATTTGGAGAAATTATGAAAGTCTATATGTAAAATTATAACCCATTAACTGTTGGTATTAATAAGTGAATTTAGCAAGTTGCTGGATTTAGTCAGCATATAAAGTTCAATTATATTTTTTTATACTAGAGGCCCAGCGCACGAAATCATGCACGAGTAGTTCGCAGCCGCTTGCCTTCACTCACCGCCCTGCCTGCTGCTGCTCGTCACTCACTGCCCCGCCCACAGCCGCTCATCGCTCGCCGCCCTGCCCGCAGCCGCCTGTCACTCACCACCCTGCCTGCAGCCGTTCGTCGCTCTCGGCCCAGCCTGCAGCCACTCCTTGCTGGCCGCCCTGCTCGCCGCCCCGCCCGCAGCAGCTTGTTGCTCACCACCCTGCCTGCAGCCGCTCATCGCCCACGGCCCAGCCCACAGCCGCTGATCATGCGTCGCTCCGCCCGCCGCCGCTCATTGCTCCGCCTGCTGCCACTCACGCGTCGCTCACCATCCTGCCTGCAGCCGCTTGTCGCTCGCCGCCCCGCCCGCAGCCGCTCATCACTGGCCGCCCCGCCCACAGCTGCCCGTGGCCTGCCAGCCCACCCTCAGCCGCTTGTCACTCGCGGCCCCGCCCGCCGCCACTCAACGCTCACCGCCCCACGTGTCGCTCCGCCCGCCGCCACGTTGCTGGGCCCGCAGCCACTCGTCACTCGCCGCCCCGCCCGCAGCCGCTCATCGCTCACCGCACCGCCCACCACCGCTCCTCACTCGCCACCCCGCCCACCGCCACTCGCCGCCCCGCCCGCCGCTGCTCGTGGCTCCCCGCCCGACCCGCCACTGCGCGTGGCTCGCCAACCCACCCGCCGCTGCTCAGCGCTCACTGCTCCGCTTGTCTCTCCGCCGGCCGCAGCTCATCGCTCGCCACCTCGCCCACCGCCGCTCGTGGCTCACCGCCCCGCTCCTCGCTCCGCCCACAACCGCTCCTTGCTGGTCACTCTGCCTGCAGCTGCTGGTCGCTCGCCACCCCGCCCGCCCCCGCTCATCGCCCCGCCCGCCAGCGCTCCTCGCTCACCGCCCTGCCCACCAGCGCTCGTCGCCCCACCTGCCGCCGCTCGTCGCTCCTCCCGCCCCCACTCGCCGCCCTGCCCTCCACCACTCGCAGGCCAGGGTGGAGGGACTGAGGGGTGGTCAGTGCACCTCATGGCGACTGGTCGAGCGGCCGTTCCGCTCGTTACGGTTATGGTCCCTGGCCTTTTATTATATAGGATACAAGCACTGAACAATTAGAAAATGAATTTTTTAAAAGAAATCCTATATAATAAAGAGCTAATATGCAAATGGTTGTCACACCCTCACGCCCTCACGTCAGAACTGCTCAGAACACTGGGGAGAGAGGAATGGGGACCAGCCAGGCACAAATGAGCTCGTGAGAGAGGAATGGGGACCAGCCAGGCTGAGGCCCAGGAGAGGGACAAGCCACCCATCCTGCAGTCCCAGGCACCTGCGGCTGCAGCCCAGGAAAGGCTGCCTGCCCACCGTCCCCAGAGGCTGCAGCTGGCCAGAGGGAGGGAAGCCCGGGTCCTGGGTGCCTGTGACTGGCCAGAGGAGGGAATCCTGGGTCCCGGTTGCAGGGCAAGGCAGAGGAGGTTAGGGGCAATTGGGCCAGCAATTAGGGGTGATCAGGCAGTCAGGCAGAGGTGGTTAGGGGTAATCAGACAGGCGAGCAGTTAAGAGCCAGTGGTCCCGGATTGCGAGAGGCAGTCAGACATCCCCTGAGGGGGTCCCAGATTGAAGAGGGTGTAGGCTGGGCTGAGGGACCCCCCCACCCCATGCACGAATTTTGTGCACTAGGCCTCTAGCATAAAAAAATATGAAATACGTAGCGTACTAGTATCCTATGGCTGCTATAATTACCGCAAACTCAGTGGCTTAAAACAAATTTATTCTCTCAAAAGTTCTGTAGACCAGAAGTCCAAAATCAAGAAGTCAGGGTCTTAGTCCCTTCAGAGCCTCTGAAGAGAATCTGTTCCCTGCCCTTTCTAGTTTCTGGTGTCTGCTGGCATTCCGTGGCTTGAAGCCACGTCACTCTAATCTCTGCCACATCCATCTTCACATTACCTTCTCTGTGTGTGTCTTGAATTTCCCTCTTCCTCTATCATACAAAGACCCTAATGGCATTTAGGGCCCACCTAGATAATCCAGGATTATCCCTTGTTTCAAGAACCTATAATGTAATCACATCTGCAAAGGCCTTTTTTTTCCAGATAAGGTAACATTTCCAGGTTCCAGATATTAGGACCTAATGTCTTTGGGGCAGCATCCAGCCCTTTGCACCTAGGATTAAATTTAAATGAAAGATGTGTAGCCTTCAGAGAAATTAGAGAAGACACAAGTAACTGGATAGGTGGCCTGTGGTCATAGATCAGAAGACTCAATAGTGTAAAAATGTCAGTTCTCCCCAAATTGATCTGTAGATTTAGTCTAATCCCTAACAGAATCAAAGCAGGTTTTGTGTGTGTGTGTGTGTGTGTGTGTGTGTGTGTGTGTGTGTGTGTACATGTGTGCATGCGCACATAAATTGATAAGCTGATTCTCAAACTTATATGGACATTTAAGAAGACCAAGAATAGTCAAGACAATCTGGAAGAACAACAAAGTTGGAGGCTTTATACTCCCAGATATTAGAAAGTAGTCCAATGGAGCCCTGGTGTGGCTCAGTTGGTTGAGTGTGTCATCCATGCACCAAACGGTCGCCATTCCCAGTCAGGACACATGCCCAGGTTGTGGGCTCGATCCACTGTCAGTCGGGGTGGATGGGGAAGACAGTGATCCATGTTTCACTTTCACATCCATGTTTTTCCCCTCCTTTCTCTAAAATAAAATAAGTTTAAAAAAAGATATTTAAAAAAAGAAGGTAAACCAATAGAACTGAATAGGGTTCCCAAACAAATCCTTATGTGAATATTTTATGGAAAAGTGACACTGTACAAATGTGGAGGGAAAAAAATGGACGTTTCAATGGATGGTGTTGGGTCAATTGAATATCCATGTGTAAAACAAGAAACCTTGATGCCTACTCATGTTATCTTTATAATTTTGGGTAGTCAAATATTTCTTAAACAGGACATAATATGCTCAAGTTGTAGGGGAAAATATTGAGCAAAATATTTGAGAAAAGTGTGAAAAATATAAAGAACCTTGAATTGTGTCAGGAAACTACAAATAGTTTTGTATTCCTGGGCATGAAGTCAATTCAGGATGAGACTGGAGAGGTAGGCAAGGGCTGACCTACATAAAGCCCTTTAGAGCAGTCATAGGGTTAAGCAATTTACTCTCCAGGTAACGGAAAAGAACCAGAGAGATCTAAGCAAGAGAGTGATTTGGCTCAAATGATATTTTAGATGGAAATTGAATTTGGCAAAGAAATCAAGTAGGCTGTTGAAGTAGTCTAGAAATGATAAGGCTTAAATTACAGCAGTGATAGCAAGGATAGAAGCAAGGATAGAGATAAACATTTAGTAGGTGATTACCAAAATTTGGGCATTGGTTGAATATGAACAAGAAAAGCAAAGGGAGTAGTCTAAACTGGTGCCTTCTAGGTGGATGACTGTATCAACAACAGGAGGTAAATACTGAAGACTTACCAATTTGAGGTAGACAGAAGATGAATTAGTTTCTAGACACGTTCTCCATGGGGAGATATCCAGCATTCAGTTGGATATATAATTAAGATCAGGACTGGAGAAAGGGATTTGTTACTAATTGATTATAGCGACCTAAGGTCGTGAGACCTAACTAGATTACACAGGAAAAGCATGTAAAATGAGAAATATGAGCTGAGAATGAAAAGCCGAGGGACACCAACATTGAAGGGCCACGAAGAGAAAAAGGAATCTGTAAAAGAAACAGAAAAATAAGAAAACTAGGAAAGGTGTAACTAACTTCCTGAAACCAAAGGTGTAGAGAGATCCACAGGCCAGGGAAGCAGGTAAGTCTGGTGAGATAAGGTGTATGTGTGTGTACAGTGCTTAGGCAAGTAGGAGTCATGAATGATGCTGGTAAGAGCAGTTTTCCTGGGATGAAGGACTAAAATAGAGAAGTAGGGAAATTTTGGTCAGATAGTTATTAAGCGTTGTCATTGGAAAGGCCGTTGGCATCAATTCAACACCAAAAGGAATTCCCAATTTGGGGTGCAGCGAAGAAGGTAACGTTATTCAGTGCAAACAGTTTGTGACACCGAACTGCGCACAAAATATTCTGTATCAAAATATTTTTCATCTTTTTTTAACATTATTATTAGGATTAGTTTTTAGTCTTTAATACCAACACACACCCACACAATGAACTATAAGTAACCTTTGAAAAAAGATTGAAGCATATCTACTTATGCCTATAAATAGAACAATCTTGATATTTTAAGGGGAAAAAAATCGATGTGCCAATAGTCAATACTGCATTCATGTATAATTGTGTGTGTGTGTGTGTGTGTGTGTGTGTGTGTGTGTTAGTTGGTCTGCACAGGCTGCTATGACAAAGTACCACAGACTAGGTGTCTTATTAGCAGCAGACATTTACTGTTCACAGTTCTGGAGGCTGGACGCCCAAGGTCTTGGTTGGCTGAGAGCCCTCTTCCAGGTTGCAGACTTTTCCTATAAGTTCACCTGGTGGAAGGGGCCAGGTATCTCTTGGAGCCTCTTTTATAAGGCACCAATCCTATTCATGAAAGTCCTACCCTCATGATTTAAGTACCTCCCAAAAGCCCACCTGCAAATACCATTACCTTTGAGGGTTAGGGTTTCAATATATGAATTTGGGTGGAACACAAACATTCAAACCATAGTAGTATGTCTCCATCTCCTTTCTAACACACACACATAAAATATATGTATAGCTGCCACACACGCTCAGACCATTTCCAAGAGGGTTCATAGAAGTCGTTTACTTCTGGGATGGAGTATCAGTCTGGGATGAAAAGGAAACTATCTTTTTATGTATACCTTCACACAGTTGGACTCTCGTCATGTGTATGTATTATGGTTTTGAGAAAATAAATGTTTAAAGAATTGACTGATAGACAAAACAATGTTAAAAAAGTCAGACAGTGATGTTAAAAATAACATTAAAAAATGTAAAAGTAAAGTTACAGCTAAAGTTAAAAGCTAATAGAAGTTGGGAAGTAGAATGGAAGAGGAAAGATAGAAGGTGGGGTGTCATCCTCATTTTACGAAAGGAAACAAATTTAAGCAGGGCAGTAATTGTAGACTACACTTTGATTCACCTACCGCGCTAGGCACACAGGAAGGACCTCAATAGAATCCTGTTTTACTCATGGGATCCAGGCTCATAAGGAGTTTCTTTATGATACCAATTTTTCGCTGTAGAGTTTATTGATTTACTCGATGGTCCTCCTTCATTATTACTTTAGAAGTGCCTGTCTCAGGAGAAATTTAACTCTGAAACAGAGTCAGGTGATGCTGCGCAGCATGGCCAGGAGACCGCCCAACATTGAGCCACTTGTGTTAGGCTCAGTCTGGTAGGGACAGCCCAAACATACTTATAGAGCCTTTTGTTTTTGTGTTAAAGCCACTGATCTTTAAGGAAAACCATGATCTTAAGAGTCGAAAGGAACTTTAGAGGTCTGGTAACCCCCTTTTTCTTTACCCTCGAATATTACCATTTGTAATGATTTATTTGGCTAAATTTAAGTTAAGTCTAGGTAGGGAAGAGTCTAAAGTTTATATTTACCTTTGCCCGTGATACACAATATTCTTGACTAACTCATTCACTTTTCTTTTTTTAACAAGGTATTGTTTTTATCACGTGTTTCCCTTCATTAGTAAAACTTAGTGTTGTTTTTTTTTTGTGTGTGATATTTTCTTATTCATATTTTTTATTGTTTTTCTTCTCCTTAAAGAAGTCCCTTTAACATTTCTTGCAATACTGGTTTGGTTGTGATGAAATCCTTCAGCTTTTCTTGTCTGGGGTTTCACTTCTTTCCCCTTAGTTTTACAAATTAGAAAATAGAATTCACGAATTAATTTTTCCTACTTAAAAAGGTGTTTAAAGAACATATTCATTAAAATCAGTCTATAGGGAACTCTAGGTAATCTGAATAGTTGAAGATAAGATTAGACGCACTAACCTCTGAAATGGAAGCAACCTAACATTACATTGATATGTGAAAATAATCCTAGAAAGCAATATGAAAATGTTTCAGAAACATGCTGCTCATGAGGTTAGGGGACTCCAAAAATATTTTCTTGAAGATTGGAGATAGTGATCTAAATGTAACATGCAAAACAAAGTATAAATAGTGACAAAAACACAGTCACTGGCACATAGTAACTATTCAG